CTGGCCTGGCAGCAGGATAATGTCACCATGACAGTGTGTTTTGGACCAGCAATCAGGAGGCACCTCTAATTCAAAGTGCTGACCAGTGCCAAAAATCCTGCTTTACCTTGAGGACAGAGGCAGCAAAGTTAACAAACACAGCCCCTTTGCCTCCACCTGAGCCGACGTGCTCATTTGCTCCCACTCCATTTCTTCTTGCAGCAGCTGTTCCCCGGCTCGGGTTGGATGGAGAGATGTTAAAACAGGAGTTTGAGGAGCTGCCGAGCTTTGCATCTGCAAAGCCACCGTGCTGGGGTGGCACAAGCCCTTTCCCCCTCCCCTTGTCCTTCAGATACCTGTGCTGGATTAAACATTCACTCTGTGTCTTATCAACTGGCTCTAGCAAAGGGCTTTTATGCCTGGGCAACACGTGAAAAGTGTATATAAATGCAAGAGGCAGAGAGAAGGCTATCTGGAGATGGCGAGGCTTGTTTGTACAAGTAATTGCTCTGACACTCCTGCAAGGAAAGTCGTGCTCAACCAGGGAAGAGATGCTATCGTGTGAGCGGCACATCCAAAGGGGACTAATAAGCAGACGTTGGTGTGGGCACAGGGATGGTGAAAGCGCAGCAAGGTCATGTAATTATTCCACCTGGATTTACCGCCGGAGCTGCTGCATGAATGGTGCTCTCCTGGAGCTCCTGCTAGCGGACCCTGGCTCTGCTGGGGTGGGATTTTGGAAGCCTGAGCTCTGCTGTATTTGTACCAATATGCTCCTCCCATGGGTGCCTGTGGAGCTCACGTCCTTCTCTGGGATCCTGCCTCTGCTGCTGGCATGGGAGCCGTGTGGCATCATGGCTCTCTTCTCTTTGGCAGATGCTCCCCACCCAGCTGGGATATGGAGATGCACTTGAGCACTCCTGACTTAATGGGGCTGAAAGTCCCCAACGACAGTGGCAGAATGGAAGGGGAAGGCTGATTCCCTTTCTCCCCCTGCTTCTTCATGTGTGCTTTTCCTCCATGGCAGAGCTACATTACGTAAAGGCAGATAAGTCCCTGCCTTTTGTGAGCAGTTGGAATAATTTTCAATATCTGAGACACCCTATCTGGCAAAGGTCATGCTCTGTTCTCTGGATGGTCTTAATTTAGCACCTGCAAGTTCTTGGTGAAGTGCAAAACTCCAGGGTGCAGAAAGACCCCTGGAGGTTATTGTACAGGGAATGTCTTCCCTATGTAGAGACGTGAGCGTGCTACAGAGCATCAGCATTGTGCTCACCTCCTAGTTGGAAGTAAATGGTTTTTACTGGAGGCTTGCAAGAGTGCTTCAGAGCACAGCTCTGCTGCAGCTCAGGGCTCCAGCATGACATCCAAGGCTGCTCCGAAATGGCTGCACCTGATGGTGGCACACAAAATCAGCTTCAAAGTGCCTTTGTTAATGCACAAATGTGTGCCTGGCTGGTTAGCTTCCTCCATGGGCTCCTGCCATCCCTGCTGCCATGCAGGTGCCACCCGCTGTCGGCAGGCTGCGTGGTTCAGAGCAAGGGTGGGGAGGCAGGTGTGAGGTGTGAGGATGATGGAGCAGACATTTCCTTGGCTGGTTGTTCTTCAATGTTACTTAAAGTTCATTCCTTGGCTCCATTGCCATAGGAGTCGAGGTTGTGTACATGGCTCATTGAATTCTTGAGGTAGGTATAGCTGAATTCAGCAGAGGGGCTTGGAGAAGCTGTTGTCACCAAACTCATGGGACCAAACAGCATGGGGAAACGAGTCATCATGGGGTGGGGGGAGCCCAGCATTCCTCGGAGAATCCAGGGGAGAGACCCTGTGGGAGGGCTCCCCAGTTGTCTCTTGTCCCTTATGGTGGGGTGCCCAACTGCAGGGCACAGACACATCAGAGACGGGGCTCCGGAGGTTTCGCTGCTGGATTTTCAGTGCGCAACTGTGGAATCCTGCTGGTGCTGGCACCAGCAGCGGCCGCACACCAGGGCTTATCTCGAGACCTACCAGAAGCAGGAAACTCAGCAAGTTCCCAAGCAAACCTCTGGTGCGGGAGGCCAGAGTCTTTGACCTCCGGGGGTCCTGCGCGTTTGAACAGGCTCCTAATCTGCTTGGGAAAAGCAGGCGAACTCGGGAGGGAGAGGAGGGAGGGCTGGGGCTGCGCCCTGAGCAGGGTCACTGTCGCTCACGGCTTTGATTGCTGAGGCTTGCTGTCTCGGGCTCGCGGGATTTGGCTGCCTGGCCATGAATAAAAAAGCTGGATTCTCCTGGAGCCTTTATTCCCATGTCGAGATTGCTGGTGGTTTCTTGAGGAGGGGTGGAGGCAGAGGCAGGCTTTTGTTGATGGCTTTTGACAGGCATGGGCAAAAGCACGGCTCAGTCTCTACTCCAGCTAAATGCTTCACCTTCCCCCAGTGCGGGCTGAGGCTGCACTGGGAACCTCACTCCTGTGTTGGGGTCACCCCACAGCCCTAGCTCAGCATCTCACTTTGATGCGGCTCCCCCCTTCCCCCTGCCTCCTGCAGAGGCTCCTGACTGGGGGCTTGACGTGGGCCTGCTGCTCCTGCCCAGCGCTGGCAACTTGCCTGGTTCTGCCACTGCCCCCCAGATAACCCTGACTGCAGAGACCTGCAGCCCAGAGGGTCCAAAGAGTGGGGACATGCCAGGAAGGACAACACGTGGGGAAGGGAGGAGGAATACCCAGCAAAACCTACCCTCTGCCACCACTTTGTCCTCTTCCTGCCTCCCATCCAGCATCGTTTCTCTTACTCCTGAGCATCAGCAGGTCTGAATGGCAGCTGGACTCTGCCTGGGATGAACATCTCCATCCAGATGCTGCATGCAGGGATCTCTGGAAGATACAGGGTCATTGCATTCCTTGGCCAAGGCAGCCAGGCTCTGAGCTGGGACCTCTGACAGGTGCCTGCCCCGCTTTCCAGAAAGACAGAAAATGTGCCAAGGGTGCATTGCCGCCACTCTGACATCTTTGAGTCCTTTGCCTTATCCCCAGGGCCAGTCTTTGCTTTACATGCAGTGCAATCATCACATTGGTCAAGCTAATCGCCCTTTTTCTGGAAAAACAAAGAAAAAGTACCCGATATACAGGGATTTACTCCATGGCTGGCAGTGACACTGGGATGGGATCAGCATCCTGGCATCTCTGCTCCCTAAACGCTGACCCAGCCTGGTGAGTTGCCCCCGTGGTCCTGCCCTCCTCCTCCTCACCAGCCTCCTCCATGCCCCACCTTGGCAGTGGCTGGGGCGGGAACCTGCCTGCGTGTGGATGGAGAGTGTGCTGGAGCCAGCATGGGGCAATGATTCATGCGCTTGGCTGCCTGCTCCAGTGGTTCCTTAAATCAGGCCAGGCTCAGGCTCAGGCAGGCAGGGCAGGGGAAGCTGGGGGCTTGGCACTGCAGGGAGCCTTCCCCTCCTCTCACCCATAACAGACAGCAGAGCTATTTGTTTGCGGGTGTCATTTTGTCAAGCCAGTGGCTTAGCCCATGCCAGAGCCTATATATAGAGGCCTTGCTTGGGTGCATTTTTGGAGGGTTTTATTGCTCCGATGCTGGATTCATCCCAGCCAGGCTGTCCCCAAGGAGGCAGCACCGCCGAACCTCTTAGATGGCAGCACACGCTGCTGAGGGTCTCATGGTCTTGCTTCTTTGGAGTGCTCAGTCTGATGACGGGGTAGAGCAGGGTGTTGTGTGGCAAGATGATTAATAACTGCTTAATAAGGTCACCACCATTCAAAATAAGCTGTCCCGTGGGATCCTCTCTTATCAGGCCCTGGTAGACAGGGCTATCAGGAGCTTGGTTCATTCCTGAATGAATACGCACTATAAGCAACGCTTTCTGGCATTGGCCCCAGGACAACACTCTTGCTGGGCCACCTCACCAGTGCCAAGTGCCAAGCTGGGTTATCTCGACATCCCCATGGTCGGTGAACGGGCACCGGTGTGTTTGGTGCAGGCAGGAGAGCTGCAAACCTCTTCTCGGCTCTTCCTTGTGAGCGATGGGCGCTCGTGTTATGCTTGGATGTCATTCATGCCCCAAAGGTCCTCGGGAGCTGCTTGAGCTCCTTTTATGAGCCATCTCTGCTCTGCCTGGCCTTGTTCGCCCTCTGTGTCCTCCCTTCCTCTCCAGGCACCTCCAGCCCAGCCTCGCCATGCCCTTACCTCTCTATGTGCTTACACCTACCTTCCTTCTTCCCAGGGGCTTGCCAAAGCACTGTGCTCACCCCTCCTAAACCTGAAGTTTTTCTGGCACTATTTTTTTCTGTCTCCCCCTACTAAAGCACCAGTTGTGTCCTGTCCCCCCCCCCATCACCCTCCCACCTTGAGAAGACAAAAAACCCAACCCCAACCTCACTCCGCCAGCTCCTGCTGTTTGTTCTTAAATCCCTTCCCTCCTGCCTTGCTGGTTTGAAAGCCTGTACCCTGGAAGGGGCCTCCCAGCTTTCGCTGGCAACCCTGCTTCAGACTGACCGCCACAGATAGTGTTTAGGAGTGAAAAAAAAAATATAATATAATAATAATGAAAAAAAAAAATCTCTCCATGCTGAAGTTTTCCTAGTCTCCCGTGCTGTATGCTGGTGTGACAGTGTCTTGGGAACCAAGAGGAAACTTTGGGGACTTGTTTTCTCACCCATATGCTTTGAGCAGCTCTCCCCTGGCAGTGCCAGCACTGCAGCCTCTGGCAGGGTGGTGGGTGAGATGTGTCCCCCACCGCTGCCCACTCCCTTGGTGCATCAATGGGGGGTTTTTTTGGCTTTTGGACATGGCTCTTTTCCTCTCGCCCAGATAAGGTGCCTCCAGCCCACCTTTCTGCATGTGTCAAACAGATGGGATCATTATTTGGGGAAGGAAAAAAAAAAGAGAGAGCGAAAAAGCAGCAAAATCTCTGGCTGAGGGGGGACCCTGGGTCTCTTCACACACCTTGAGCCCGAGACCACCTCTCCCTTTGCTGGGGGAGGGCTGAGGAGGGGTGTCCCCTCCTTTCACCTTCCTTTCCTCCCCCCCTAGATGATGGAGGTGGCAGATGGAGGTGAGGTGGGCAGGCAGATATCACACCCTGAGCTACAACAAGAAAAAACATGGGCACGTTTCAACTTAGAAAGAAGAAAAAAAAATCCAACGCAACAATTAAAAAAAAAAGAAAGGAAAAGAAACCGAGTGCAGGGGCTGCCAAGCAGAGGAATGAGAGAAGCAGCGAGCAGGTCTGTGGAGAAGGCTGGTGGGCCAAGGCAAGAGCAGCCCAAGACTGGGCAGGTGCTGCCGGTGCTGCCCAAAAGTCCCAGGGGCAGGAGAGGATGCGCAGGGTCCCCTCCACATCCCCTCCTCGCCAGCATCCTGGGCAGCGCCCGGGAGGGCGGAGGGAAGGGAGGGCGATGCTCCGCTCGGGGTTTATTAGATTGGACATAATCATCTTTAAATAAGGCAGCCCCCCCCTCCACACCCCTCCGGGG